TCGGAGTGGGGGCAAGGAAGCCACAGGGGGACAGAGGAAGAGCTGGGAGCAGACCCGGAACTTGGGTTCGAGGCAGGACTGTCCCCCATTGACAACTCAGCCAGACACAAATCGAGGCGGGTGCATGCTTCTACAATTTATTTTAATGCTTGTTTATTTTTTTATTTTTTCAACGTTTATTTATTTTGGGGACACAGAGAGACAGAGCATGAACGGGGGAGGGGCAGAGAGAGAGGGAGACACAGAATCGGAAACAGGCTCCAGGCTCTGAGCCATCAGCCCAGAGCCCGACGCGGGGCTCGAACTCACGGAGTGCGAGATCGTGACCTGGCTGAAGTCGGACGCTTAACCGACTGCGCCACCCAGGCGCCCCAATGCTTGTTTATTTTTGAGAGAGAGAGACAGAGTCAGAGCATGAGTCGTGGAGCGGCAGAGAGAGAGGGAGACACAGAATCCGAAGCGGGCTCCAGGCTCCCAGCCGTCAGCACAGAGCCCGACGCGGGGCTGGAACTCACAACTGTGAGATCATGAACTGAGCGGAAGTCAGACGCTTAACTGACTGAGCCACCCAGGCGCCCCTGGAGGGCACATGTTTCAGTGCTGGAAACCCACCCACTGACCCAGTGGCAAGAAGAGACACAAATCAGCACAAACGATTCACTTTTATTAATACGTGTGTTTTCCCTTTAATGATGAGTGTTTGGGGTTCATTTATATCAAGCAAATTAACTTACATCTTTTATAAAGCCTTTAATCCAAAAATATAAATATTTCCCTAGCTCCAGCGTTCTGGCTAGATCTTTGAGGTGCAATCAGCCTCATCCAAAGGCCACTCACCCGGCAACTCTAGCGCGAAAAATGCAACTGAAGATTGTTAACTGCCTTGGCCCATGTGGACTTTCTAGGTATACGGTTCACTGCTCTTTGCAGATCCTTTATTTCTGAGTCCCCCTACCTGCTAACATTTATTCGTAATTCCAAAACCAGCACTCACGGCGCTACGGCGGCCAGGCGTGCGAGGGGTGGCCAAAAAGGGGAGGTGCCTCGCCGAGGACACACAGCGGAGTCCTCCTTCTCGTTTCAGCTCTCGCTGTCAATAAATGTCCTTTTGTGATCTGGTTGGTGCCAGGCTTCCAGCATTTTTGCACTTTTGGCTGGTGATCTCTGGGTTCGACACGGCCCCAGGTGTCGTGGAGAAGCGTGGTCTCCGTGAAGTGCCTCACGGGGAAAACACGCGTGCAGATAAGCAAGTTCGGGAGGGATGGTGCCATCCGCTCGGGCTCAGAGTTGGTGCAGCAGCTATATATCCAATTAGGCGTCTCTGAACAGAAGCACCCACAAAACAAGGTCATGAACCCATCGGTTGACAAAGACCGGAGGCTCGTCGACACCTGACCTTGTCTCTGTCCCCCAGAAGCAACGATTCCCCATTCACGAATTCAGCGTTCGTGATGGGTTTAAGGAACATAATTACCGTGAGTGAGGATCCACTGTATTTAAGGGTATTGTCTAGCAAAAAGGTGTGCTTTTCCCTGTTTTTAGGACCACTTTTTCCATAATTTTAACACGTCTTAACATAAAATTTTTAAACTTATTTTGAGGGAGGGAAAAAGCACGAGTGGGGGAGGGAGGGGCAGGGAGAGAGAAGAAGAGAGAACCCCAAGCAGGCTCAGCACTGCCGGCACAGAGCTCCATCCGGGGCTCGAACGCGCCAATCTTGAGATCGTGACCCGAACTGAAATCAAGAGTTGGCCGCTTAACCGACTGAGCCACCCAGGCGCCCCACGTGTCTTTCCACAATTCTAACACATAATGAAAACAATCACCTGTCACGGGTGCAGGATTTGGGGGATGCAAAGGATCCGAATGGAGTTCTGTTCTCAGGCAGAGAAAAAA